TCAAGTAATTTTTGTTATTGAGCGGTAAAATTTGGCCGATAAAACAGGTTGGCCTTTTGACTAAGGTTGGAAAGTTTTTTAGACCCCACACTTTAAGTTGGAGGTCTAAGTTTTTCTTTCAGGGAACATTACGCTTAGGGCGTGCTGATTTTTAACAAGTTCTGAGTAAACATTTTGAATGGTCAATAGCTTTCAGTTTTCCGTTCTATTGTTGAAAAACAATCCTGCTTTTTTTTGCTGTTAGCTTACCCAAGTTTGGGATTTTTTCAATGGAAAATTTTTGAACTAAAAAGCTATCAGTTCACGGCGAGTATTAAGAGTTTAGCTTTCAAATATTGCAAGCTATTGCACGATTAATCAATACGAGTTTGAGTTTTTGATGGCACTTGGAGTTCTAAAAAAAGTTTTGAAAAGTATCTGGCTTGGTTTTTGGGATTAATGTTTGGAACCATCAAGCAGTTGTGATGTTGATGAGTTAGGACTGGAGTGTATAACTCATAGAGTAATTTCGGATAGGGTACACCGTCTGCTCGTCACGCTATCTTATTTTCGGCCGGATAGATTCGTGCAACTTCTTAGTCTAATACCGATCCTAATCTTACTCTTATACTATCTAGTCTCAGGTTGTTTAACTAGTCTCTGCTAGGCTCAATAGATCTAGGGTATACTGGTTTATTGCGGCTGCTGAAGTGCTCGGGAGAGTCCAACTAATTTCTAAGTTAAATTCAAATCTCTCTGGTGCTGAAATTACAAGTAACTTCAGCACTTACAAATAAGTGGGTTGTTAGTTAGATGGATCATGATTGGTTAATATTAAATACTTTACATTGGTAAAATATCTAATTTATCCAATCATAAAATGTAGTTTAGATCAGGTTCCACCCATCCGGGTTTTACAGAGTTTTTTAGAATAGTTCTTCTGCAATTCGAAGGATGGATGATGGAAGTTGGTGTTTGGCGAACATCTTATTTCTTCTGTTTCCTTTTTGTTAAAGAAGTTCCAGGAAGCTGGAGTTAGAGACATAAGACGTTGTGTCTTCTAGTGACAACGACTAAGTCTTCGCAACAAACTCAAATCTGATTTCAGAATGGTTGGCTATGTCAGGTTTTTCTGTTCTGCGTGGAGAACTTCTTTTGTGTCTGATCTAGTTTGGGAATGGCGTGGAGATTGTGCGTGGAGGGGATGCCTGGTTACTCGGATCTGTACGTATACTTGAACATCGAGGTGGTCATTGGTCTAGTTCAATGAAGTCCTTTTCTGCGAAGTCAAGTCGTACTCTAAATCCTTTGAGTTGTGATTGTGAGTGGCATATCGATTGTGGTTGGTCATTCTCTCTCGAGTGTAGTGGGGTCGTTTTGTCTTTAGATGTTCGTCCTTGGTGTTGTATTCTGATCTATGTATTGCATAATGTAATTTACATTTTATAAAACATTTATTAGTTTAATATTTTTTAATTATGATTTTAGTTAGTTGTTTTCACAAAAGCTTTTTGTTTTAGTTTGGTTATTTTGAAGAGTTACTCACACTTGAGTAGCTCTTATTAAAAATAGAGGTGTGGTCACAAAGCGTGGATGTAGCGCGGTGGGTTAGGCCGGCTATAGAGCATGCTCAGGACGTCCTTCCTGGTGGGTTAGGCCAGGAATGGGAGTATGATTTCATGCGGTTTTTGTGAGGGGTCCTGTTATGTGACAACGTTTTATGTTGGGTTTGTTGTGGTTTTTCTTATGTCTTGTTGGTTATGTCCTTTTTCCAAAAAGTAAATTGTTCGTGGTATGGGTTTGTCTTTCGACTTTTTTGTGTTTTATTATTTCTTTCTTAGACTTTATAATAGTCTTCAAAAGAATAAATTATCCAGTTTTAAACTGGGTTAATCCGGTTTGGGTACCGTTGGTTTCCTTTTCTTAGTCATGCTGTTATTCTATGATTTGTGGTATTTAGTAAGCTGCGTTGGTTAGTTTTGTTTAATATATGATTCCTTTCCAACCGGGTTAAAGGAAAGTTTGAAACATGTTATTATATGTTAGAGTTGTTGAGTGTGAAAACTTGAAACTGAAATTCATTATTTTAAACAATTCTTCGTGGGCGAGCTGTGCGAGTGTGGATAGAATTTTTGTGCGAATAAATGAGAATATCAAAAGGTTAGTACTGCATTTGCATTTTATTAATTTACTGCATAGAATTTGGAAATTTACTGCTAGTTATGGGGGAATTTTAAGTTACAAATTTTCATCATAATTAGATTTACTGCTTGTGGGGAAAATTTTAGAAATGAATTTACTGCATTGGTATTAAATTTATAAATTTATAAGTGTAAGAGATTAATAGAATTGTTGAAATCTGTTTGATGAAATTTGCGATCTTTATTTGTTTTTTGTGGTTTTTGTAGGTGATTGTCGGATGAAGGCTAAAAATCTAAAGAAAACATGGATAAAGTATGGTGAGTTTTTTTTAATATTTTAATTAGTTAGTAATATTCATTTAATTCATACTTACCTGTTAGTCGTCGGGGAAAAAACCGTGGGGGAAGATGTCGTGAATTAGTTCTGAAGTTGTTAGTAGTTTAGCTAAGATGCGGATGATATTTTTAGTCTGAAGCAGTGGCCAAAGCAATTGGAGTGCCTTGATAGTGGTTAGTTCTTCAGTGCCAACTGCAAACTCATAAGGTGTGTTTTGGATTAGATTATATAATTTGTGATTGAATTTAGTGTTGTGGATGAATTCTAAAATTGGGATTTCTATAGGTTGTACAAACTCGTGCGGGATAAGGAAGGGTCGGGATTCTTCGGCGTTGAAGGTCTTGGTGATGGGACAGAAGATGTACATTTGGGTTATGGGGTCATAATTACGAAGAATACCATGGAGGTTAGTGTCTTTAATGCAATATGTGAAATTTAGGAAAAATGGTGAAGTGTATTTGGAATTAATGAATTGAAAACGATGGTGTGGTTGTCTAGAGGGTGTGTATAGGTCAAAGTGATTTTGGATGAAGCGATAATAACTATATGTGTGGGTTTGTTTAGTGCGCAACATAATATCGTGTGAGCAGTGTAAATCTCTTTCGTGTGGTGCAAGGAAATGAAAGGTTAGTGAAAATATTTGGAAGCGTTCTTTGAAACTTTCGTATGCTTGTGTGTCTATTAGTGCTTCTGAAATAATGTGATCAAACTTTCGGTCGAAGATGTTTAGTGTAAATATATATGGTGTCTTGATGAAAAATTTCTCGGTAATTTGTGGATTAGCGAAGCGATCGTCGTCTAAGAATTGATCTTGGTTAGCTCTGATGATGTTGTGATCATAGTATTCGAGTGTATATTCGTTAGCTCTAGGTGCAGTGTGTGTTTTTAGTGATTTTTTATATCCAACGTAAGTAAATTGTCTAGCGGTTAGTGGTGTAGTGAGTCGATATAGCATGTCCGTATTTCGCTCTATATCGATGTGAGTGTTAGATAAAGGTAAGCAAAGAGGGTTAGTAAAATGATAATATGAGGTCCAAGAGAGAGTGGGCATTAAAACGTATTCATCTACAAAGTTGCGTGTTTCGTTAGTGTCGTGGGGGGTGTTTAAGGTGTATTGTGGGAATGAGGGTAAGGTGATGGCTAAAAATTCTTTTGTGTTAGTATGCTTGGGGTGGTTGATGTATTCACGGGCTGTTCCTGGTTTTGCTGGGAAAGGATGGTTGGGGAACTTTCTTCTAAAAGTGCGGTAAGCTCTATTAGTGTTGAGTGAAGATTCAGTTGATGTGGATGATGGTGCTAATGATTCAGTATAATTTGAAGAGGGTGTAGGGGTAGGGGGGTTGGATGAATTTATTGTGGAGGAGATTTGGTTTATGGTTGGGGTATTAAGGTGGTAGGGTTGTTGTTGAAGGGTAATAAAATTATCTAGCTCTGGGGAGATTCGGGGGGTGTCTGGAGAATGAGATGATTGGTCAGAATGGTATGAGGAGTAGGTTGGGGTAACTTGGGAAGCATAAGAGGGTGTGGGAGTGATTGGGTCAGGGTTATTGGATAATATGGGTTGAAAAGGGGGTTGAGAAAAATTAGAAGAGTTATGAAAATTATTGGATGGGGATGGTTCTGAGTCGGCAAATTCATCGGGGGTTTCAATATTCGGGTTATTGAGTTGTGAGATGGAATATAAAACTGAGATGTGTGAAAGCGTCTTAGCATTGAAAGTGGTCCTGATTTTGTGCCTTGAAGCTGGGGTCTTGATCCAGTTTTGAAGCTGATCTGGACTTTCCAGCTGGTGTTGATGCTGTACTTTGATGCAGGATCTTGACACTAACTGGGTTGTTTCTTTATTAAAGGGGGCGGTAGAAGATCATGAATAGGTCTCACGGGCGGATCTAGGATTTTCTCGGGTGGGAGCGGTTTTTCAGTTGTCTGCCGTTTTTTTGGTCAACTTAATTGATTTCTGAGCTCTCACAAATCACGTTAGAGACCTTCTTTTGACTAAATTTTCTGCCTCGGTCTGCCAAAAATGGAGGTCTCAAAATGCTACCAACGGGGGTTCTTTGGGTAGGCAGAGGCGTTAGAATCGCTGAGAGAGTAGCCCCCCCCCTAAAGCCACTAATTTACTCAAAGAAAACCAGTATTGAAAGCTTTGCTTAGCGCTTCCTTGGCTAAATTTGGCAATTTAATTTTGAAACATTCTGCAAATAAATGAAAATTTTTTTTGATAAAGTTTCCTGAAATTTTAATCATTCCATTTTTTAAAATCTTATTCCATTTGATAAAGAAAACTTGTCAATTTTTTTCCATTTCACTAAAATTCTACACGTTCGTATGGATAGTTGGCATATCACACCACACATAAAGAAAAAGAAACCGTAATTTAAACAATTTTTTATCATTATGTTTCGGAACATTATGTGCTACTTACACAGCAACCAGTTCTCCTTGTTTTACTTTGCGAGCAAAAGAAGTCTTTTTTTTCGAATTTACTTTAATAAATTGAATCGCGCTCATAACACGAAAACGATGTGACCGAAACTTGGCGCCATACTTCATATCATTGCTTTTACACCTTACACCTTATTTTTGGTACTTGGCCATTAATGCATCGAATAATAAATTTGTAGATTTTGTGGTTGTAGATATCCAATTATGAGTCTGTCTGCCTTACTTCACTTGATGGTAACTTGCACTAAATTGTATATTATCTTCATTAGCTCAATAGAATGACGTAAACACAAGCGATGTTGCAATATTGACGTTTGAGGCTCAGTTTGTTTCTAATGCTTTGCCCTCTTCTTAGAGGTTAAATTTCATTCTGTGAAGTCTTCTGAATTTTTTATGAATCACCGAAAGTAAACTTTCCAATTCCTTGATTTCAGCTGCAATCTAAAAAGGATTGGGAGCAGTTCTTTTGTCCCATTTTTTGTCTTGTTTGATACCACGCACTGTGTTAAAATATGTCACTCCTTTTATTTAGTTTTTCGCTTCTATAGAGTAAGTTGATGAAGTTGCAAATAACCATACTTAAATGTAACAACATTTACTTATTTCTTGCCGAAAACAAACATTGAAACCATTAGCTTAACTTGTGTCACTATCGTGTTTAAGAAACCTCCAAATCCTGAGACTTATTAGTTACCGTATTGAATTGTCTTGGGGCTTGTTTTGACAGCTCTAGTCAAGTCATGATTCATTTTGTTAACCGAAACTTGTTCTTCTCTGCTTTGAAATGCTGTTTATTTGCAAATTTAGTCCCAACAGATGAGTAATTTTTCAGAGTTAAATCAATGCGACTTGTTAAATTCTCGGCGAAATCAAACCAATTACGATGACACGCAATCAAATGTCCAGAACCAGGCCACCCATTTGAAAAAGCTAAGATTCCAACATAGTTTTTCTGGAGGTAAAAATCAGCGACTGCCAGGCGAAAGAAGATCCAGCTCCTCTGGAGTCACCGAATTAAAAGAGATATCTTTTTTGGAACCAAGAGCGATGCATGGACAAAAATCAACCTGGCTGACGGGATTTTGTTTCACAAACATTGCAATCTTTGTAATTATAGTAAGTTTTCACGTTTTGAATCCGACTGCAACTAGCAATAGTGACGATGTTGCTGGGCTGGATTTAAACCCAGATTTGACAGTCGATTCTCAAGTCAGAAATCCCGAAGGTCAATCGACTATCGAAATTTCCGAGAGTTCAGAAAAAATCCCGAAAGATTTGGAAGTTTCGGTAACTGATTCTACTTCTACGAAAATTAACGAAGTCGTTCAATCGGAAGCTGAAGTCAAAGAAGAAGATGATTTAAATGAAGAGATGAACAAAGAAAAGGAACACACTGATGACCCTTCCCTAGATGCTGACGAAATCGATAAAACTGATCCTAATTCAGAAAATGAAAGTGAGAAGTCGGCTGGCGATGGGTTGAAAAATGATCATACTGTGGATTCGAGAAGCGTTGATTTGGGTGACGTCGAGAAAAACATAGAATTTGATTCGAATAGCGAAGAAAAATTAACTAATCACGCAACAAAAATTGAAAGGGAACCGCAAAATGTTCCCGATGATATGGAGTCTGAATCAAATGAGGCTGAAGCTGCAAGTTCTGAGAAGTTAGGCGAAGAACATATTGAATCAAGTGTAGTCATTGAATCACCTGTTGCTGAAAAAGAGACTGTTGAAGAAAATGATGTCGGCAAGGATGTAAAGGACGCAGAGCCAGAGCAGACGGTGCAAGATTCCAAGAGTCTCCTGGACGACCTGCTTCAAGACGCGAACAAGGGTGGTCAACAGGGATCTACAGACTCCAACATGCAGGAACCGAGAGTGATAGGAAACTCTAGTCGTCTGGTTAACGGAACTGTAGTTATGAATGAGACTGATGAGAAAAACGAGGAAATGGAGAAAGATGGAGATATGTTCACTTTTAAAGAGTGGAAACAAAAGATGCTTGAGGAGCAGATGAATAAAGACAAGGAAAAAGAAGGAGGGAATAACAATGGGGGAGGGGAGCACAAGAATGGAGGAAACACAAATGGGGTAAATGTCCAATCATTGATAAGACATTTAAAATCAAAAGCTGACGAACATGCAAACATTTTAGCGCTGTGTAATGTATTACATATGCGCCATTTAAAACTTTAATTAAAAAATAACTGTAGTTCCTTTTAATGTCCATTTTCGGACCAATTTTTTTGCTCTACCTTTGAAAGTGAAGTAGAACTTTGTTTTCTATTGTTTTAATTTTTTTGAGTTTTTTCTCCACGCTAAGTAAGGTACCACAAATAATCAAATAATAATCTTATTAAAGTACTTTCTGCTGTCGTGATTAAAATTAAATTTATAATTTTCAAAATATTTACTGTGTCGAGACAAACCAGTTAGAATAGTTTTTGTCATATTTAGAGTGAGTAAATCCAGCGAGTAACGTTTTTTAGATGAACATCGGTTACTTAAACTTGAACAACTTCGGGAAAACAAGTTGTTTTACTCCAGAAAAACAAGTTTTTGAATCTTCATTCAGCGCTTGTTTGGCAGTGATTAGTTTTTAGATAATTTTTAAAAAGTTAAGGAAAAGTTTCCGCAGTTTTTTTCAGTTAGTGTTATTCAATTTGATTTTTTTAAATCAATTTTTGTTTTGTTTTTCTTATTTTGGAGACAACTGTAGTCGAGTACAAGAGATCTGAATTTTCGTATTTTCTCTCATCAAACTACGCACAAAAACAGCACAAATTTGAACAAGAATGCTCGTATATAAGGGCGAAGCCCTGAATGTTTTAACAGCAATTCAAGGCCAACTAAAAAGTTCATTGATTGAATAGTTGACGAAATTATTGAAAAAAAGTTCTTTCATTTTTTTCTCATTTTGTCCCTTCACATGCTATGTAAAAAACAAAGGGCTTGTTTAGCGCATCACATTGTTTTATTAGGATTAAATTGCTTGCCTCAATCCAATTTGGAACATTTGAATTCTTCGCTTAGGCGTGCTATAAGAACGCAATAAATCATACGTTAATTATCTCAAATTAGCCATTTTCAAACCCCCACTGTAATTTTACAAAAAATTATCACAGCTAAAATATCAATTAAATTTATGCTCAAGACAACAATATCTTTCAGATAAAACAAAAAATTTTGTGAGAAACGCTTAGTTAACCAATTCGAAAATTGAGTGAATAAAAAGCCACCCTAAGCATAAATATTCCCCACTTTCTTCGAAAGTCGGAACAAAAAACAAAACATGTTTTTAAGGTTTTTTATGACTGTAGTCGGAACCTTCTGTGATTCCTCGAACATCAGACTGTTCGAACATCAAACTAATATCAGGATAAGTTATCCGATTTTTTTTTCAATTTGCGGTCGCAGTAGTTTTTTTTCTTTGTTATTTTCTAACTGATTTTTCATTTAGATATGTAAATTATTCTGTTATGTTTTCAGCATCAAGTCTCTTCTAGTCATCAGTCTAATGGTCTTTCAAGCTTCAAGGTTCAACAATATACCCAAAATTTTGCATCTGCTGATTGTGGTGCTAAAATACTCGAAGCATCCCCGAACGTCCAAGGAAGAGACGCCATTCTACATTCGGACCGAGACAAGTACCTGAACATTCCATGCAATGAGCCAAAAAAGTTCTTCGTGATTGAACTCTGCGAACCAATTCAGCTGAAGGTCCTAGACATCGGTTGTTTCGAACTGTTTTCTTCATTAATGGCCAACTTCACAGTGTATGGTTCTGATAGATATCCGACTAGAGATTGGAAACTGTTGGGCAATTTTACAGCAAAAAACGAGCGTACGTTGCAGTCGTATACAGTGTCAGACCAAATGTATATCAAGTATGTTAAAATTGACTACCTGTCTCATTACGGCAAAGAGCATTATTGTCCTGTTTCGAGTGTAAAAGCCTTTGGGCTCACCATTGAAGTTGAAGACGATGACCAGTCGATGAATGATAACTCTGATTCTGACAACAACGAGAATGGAAATGCACAAGACGAGACATCCAAAACTGGTAATGGCTGGTCCACAGTTACTGATGCAGTAGCAAAGTTAGCAAATAAAATTATAGGAAGCCGAGCGCCCTCAACCGAGGAAAATGTTGCAGCAAACCTTTCAGATATCAAAATCGAAAACTTAACGGATCACACAAGAAATACGTCAGTTCAAGACAACGTAGTGTACCCCGAAGCACCGCGACCCAAATCAGAAGCAAATATTTCGAACTTTGATCCAAAAATTGTACATGGAACTTTCAATTTAGATCCACCTTTCATACAACCATCGGGAACCGAGTTTAAATCGTCAAATTTGATACTTAATGAATTCAATTCAAGTCGTTCTGAATATAATTTTTCATTGGCATATCCCGAAAACATTCCTGGAGTTTTCTGTGACGAGGATTTGGAACAATTGTTGAATTGTCCGACTTATCATTATATATTCACAATGCTCGGTCTACATTCTACTTGCTGCAGAGCTGTCAATAATAGTTTATTATCAAATATACCGACTACTGAAACAACAGAACCGTGTGCCGAAAGTACCTCAGAGCGAATCCTTGAATCGCAAGAAACCGCAACGGTAATACCTGCGGTACAGGAAGTGCATAGTACGAAAAGTGATGAGGTTAATACTGACGTCAAAAATCAAGACATTATCTCGAATGCGGATGAGTATCATCATAATGGAGGAAACAGTAATAATAATTTCCAGAAAGAGTCACTCATAGTACGATTGAGGTAAAAAAAGTTCAAGTTTTCTTTTAGAATCAATTTTTTAATGGTACAAGAAAATCGAATTAGCTAAAAATTTTAATGTTCGTTTGGTTTATACATGTATGAAACTGGTGCTATGTCCCTGGATGACTTACGAGAACCTTAAAATTGATCACAATGATCAGTTTTGTTTTCTTCCTTGGTTGGTCATAGTTAAATTTAAATTTATTTTAGGAACAAAGTGAGAGAATTGGAGTTCAACATGACATTAAGCAGCGAATATCTCGAGGAACTATCTCGAAGGTACAAGAAGCAAATGGACGAAATAACAGCCAAACACAACAGAACTCTGACAGCTCTCATTTCAACTAACAAAGAAGCAGCATCACGTGACGAAAAACACTCGCAGATTATTCTAGAATTAGAATCTGACGTCACCAGATTGACTGTCCGCATTTCTCAGTTAGAGGAAGCGATGGTGAATATGACAGATAGTTTAATGTCGAGACATGTAATGTTTATATCAGTAGAGTTTTTTCTTTTTGGTGTTCTCGTGTTGTTTTACATGTTTTGGTCGTGTCGGTCGAGTTCGACTATAAATCAATCTTCGCTGGCCGATGAAAATCGTAGAAAGTCTGACGACTCATGTGATCGCGTGAGGTCGAATTCGGAAACAATTGTTGCTGGAAGTTATCCGGAATCTCCATTCGCCAGGCGCAGTTACACGGAACTTGCGCAATCGATTGAAGACCTAATGGTTCCTCAAGCGACTCCGTTCCGAAAGAAGATCTCGCCGCTGCCCAAGCAAAAACAGACGAACTATTTGAACGATAAGCAGTCATCGGCTGCATTGGTGGGTGCAGCAACGAAGAAGAAAAAGGCGAAGAAACGCCACAGCGTGAACCTTTTCGACGATCGTGAAACGAATTCTTGTTCATCAATCAGTTCAGTTGCTAGTAGTAGCAGAATGGCAAATAATAACTCATCTTATCAAGGGGCTTGTAATCAGAACAGAAACGCCAAAAGAGCTGCCAACAGTTTATGGGCTGGAAAAGCACTGTCAGTAATTTGAAGAAAAATAGTATAGATTATTATTATTTTACCAGATAAACTTTTATCGACTACGTGGGTGCTAGCGTTTAAATTTTGTTTTATCTGTTTGTTTGGTCTTTGTTGATGTTCAAATACTTGTTCTAACCAAGAGTCATAATTTGTCAATTAATCTTCACCTCAATTCATATCCCGTATAATAAATTTCATTGCAATATTTTCATTAAACTAGGCTGTATAAGGTTACACAACTGAATTGAAATCAATCGAAATTCACTAGTTCATCAATTTATTTTTTTTTGGTGCGTGTGACATGCCTAAAAATATTGGTTACACTGCTAATGATAGTATCGAATTACATTTATAGATGCTGGCACTCTCGGAAGTCACTCCCAGGCGTTGTTTCAATAGATGAGCTTTTCGCGCGCGAATTTAGGTCGTGATTCGAATGCCATTGAAAATTTTCCAAAAATTTTTTCCGGTGTCTAGAAAAACCGGTTTGAAATGTTTGATTTTCGTCTTATTTTGAGCGAAATAAGCGAGCGAGCTGGCGTACGATAGCTTATTTTAAGCCGTGAAATCATAGGTTTAATCGAGTGAGGTTGCGAAGTTTTTAGCTCCATTTATGGAATCAATAATCAATCAATCTATTATTTAATTGGCGTTTCACGTGACACATGTTTAAGAAGTCCCTATGTTGACGTGTTTAAGAAGTCCCTATTTTTGCATGTTTAAGCTTTTCCAACGTATTATTTTTTGCATTATTAACGAAAATGTTTTTGCACGTTTAAGCTATACCGTACGTTAATATGCTTAAGAAGTTTCATTTGGCTCATGTTCAAGTCTGTTGGTCTGTTAAGAGGCCAAAAAATTGCAAGATTTGAAAATTTAATATTTACATACGTTCTATACATTCCTATATAGCGGGGTGCTGTTAAATACATTTAGAGGTAGCAAATCTGGCGTTCAAGTATGACTGCTCAAATCCTTATATTGTTCGAGATATGGCGCTTTTATGATTTTTTAATTTTCTTCAGAAAACCTAGAAAGAAAAAACTCAACCGAACTTGATTTTCTCAACCCTATAGTGGGGTGCTATAAGGGTGTATTAGGAGGTTGCAAAGCTGGTGTCCAAGTATGACTGCTCAAATCCTTTTGTTTTTCGAGATATGGCGTTTTTGTTTTTTTTTAGTTTTTTTTTCTTCAAAAAACTTAGATATTAAAAAACTAACCGAACTTGAATTTCTCAACCCTATAGTGAGGTACGGTCAGGGTATATTCAGGAGTTGCAAATCTGGAGTCCAAGTGTGACTGCTCAAATTCTTTTGGTTTTCGAGAAATTGCGTTTTTTATGATTTTTTTCATGTTTTTTTTTCAAAAAAATTTAGGTAAAAAAAATTAGATACAAAAAACTAACGAAACTTGAATTTCTCAACCCTATAGCGGGGTACGGTCAGGGTATATTCAGGAGTTGCAAATCTGGCGTCCAAGTGTGACTGCTCAAATTCTTTTGGTTTTCGAGAAATTGCGTTTTTTATGATTTTTTCATGTTTTTTTTTCAAAAAAAATTAGGTAAAAAAAAATTAGATACCAAAAACTAACGAAACTTGAATTTCTCAACCCTATAGCGGGGTGCGGTCAGGGTATATTCAAGAGTTGCAAATCTGGCGTCCAAGTGTGACTGCTCAAATTCTTTTGGTTTTCGAGAAATTGCGTTTTTTGGATTTTTTAATTATTTTTTTCAAAAATAAAAAATTAAGCGAACATCATTTTCTCAACCCTATAGTGGGGTGCCGTCAGGGTAAAATCAGGTGTGGCAAATCTGGAGTCCAAGTATGACTGCTCAAATCCTTTTGGTTTTCGAGATATGGCGTTTTGTCTGATTTTTTCATATTTTTTTTTTTTTAATTAAGATATAAAAAAAAATTATATACAAAAAAACTAACCGAACTTGAATTTATCAACCCTATAGTGGAATACTGTCAGAGTTTAGTCAGGAGTTGCAAATCTGGCGTTCAATTGTGACTGCTCAAATTCTTTGGTTTTCGAGAAATTGCGTTTTTTATGATTTTTTCATTTTTTTTTGCAAAAAAGTTAGATGTAAAAATAATTAACCGAACTTCAATTCCTCAACCCTATAGTGGGGTGCTATCAGGGTACATTTAGGGGTTGCAAATCTGGCGTAAAAATCATGGCTGCTCAAATCCTTTTGGTTTTCGAGAAATTGCGTTTTTTATGATTTTTTCATTTTTTTTCAAAAAAAACTTAGATAGAAAAAAAAATTAACCGAACTTCAATTTCTCAACCCTATAGTGGGGTGCTGTAAGGGTTGCAAATCTGTATGAGTCCAAGTATGACTGCTCAAATTTTTTTTTGGTTTTCGAGAAATGGCGTTTTTTATGATTTTTCATGTTTTTTTTTTTCAAAAAAGTTAGATATAAAAAAAACTAGATAAAAAACACTCCGAACTTCAATTTCTCAACCTTATAGTGGGTTGCTGTCAGGATAAATTCGGGTGTGGCAAATCTGGAGTCCAAGTATGACTGCTCAAATCTTTTTTTTTGAGAATTTGCGTTTTTATGATTTTTTCATTTTTTTTTTCAAAAAAATTAGATATAAAAACTGAACGAACTTGAATTTCTCAACCGTATAGTGGGTTGTTATCAGGGTACATTCAGGGTTTGAAAATCTGGAGTCGAAGTATAACTGCCCAAATCCTTTTGGTTTTCGAGACATGGCGTTTTTTATGATTTTTTTCATTTTTTTTGTCAAAAAATTAAGATATAAAAAAATCCTACCGATTTTGAATTTCTCAACACTATAGTGGGGTTTTGTCAGGGTTCATTTAGGGATTGCAAATCTGGCGTCCAAGTATGACTGCTCAAGTCCTTTTGGTTTTCGAGAAATTGCGTTTTTCATGATTTTTTCTTTTTTTTTTCAAAAAACCTAGATGTAAAAAAAAATTAACCAACTTCAATTTCTCAACCCAATAGTGGGGTGCTGTCAGGGTACATTCAGGCGTTGCAAATCTGGAGTCCAAGTATGACTGCTCAAATCTTTTTGGTTTTCGAGATATGGCGTTTTTTATGATTTTTTCCAGTTTTTTTTTTTCAAAAAAGTTTAGATACTAAAAATCTTAGATGTAAAAAAAATTAACCGAACTTCAATTTCTCAACCGTGTAGTGAGGTGCTGTCAGGGTACATTCAGGGGTTGCGAAACTGGAGTCCAAGTGTGACTGCTCAAATCATTTTAATTTTCTAGATTTTTGGTTTGTCTGTTTTCTGAAGTCTTGGTTTTGTAGCACCGGAGTTGCGATTGACGCGCTAGTTCAAAAAAACTGCTCATTTTACTATTACTGTAGAATATGCCTAAGTTCTAGTTTTTCATTCAGATCCTTTTATCACACCACGCCGAACAAACGAAATAAGTTTGAAAAAAAATGCATTCTGGGCTACTTGTTCAGTAACCGGCTATCCTTGTTACATTTGCGAAAGCAATTTTCTGATAAATTTTCCACTAGCTTCATTATTGAATTTTAACAACTTCCAGGTTCCTTCACGCATGGCCTAGAGGTAAAGACCTTGCATTTGATCCCTAAGGCCGGGGGTTTGAAAATCGGCAGCATCTTTTTTTTTAACAAAGTGTGCAATTGAAATTTTTTTCGGTAAACAATGATTTGTCGGACTTTGGTTTGTCTGCTCAAGTTTTGTCAGTTTAGTTGACACATTAAGGGTTTTTCTTGTGTAGGTAGTATCATGGTAGTTGTAAGTGTTTTTCTTTGTAATTTCAGGGTACTTGAAACTTCCAAAAGTTCATGAAATCAATTTTCGTGGGGGGAAACTCGTTTCATAAAATCAAAGTCTGAGGGTTATTTGACCTATATTTGTGATATTTTGTTTCCTTTTTCTCGAGAACTAACCTCCCATATCTGTTATTGTGGGTTCAATGGAAATAAGGGGCAATGGGAGCCGTACCTGTATTAGCGGCCACTCACAATTTTTTGCTCAAAATTTCATTGCTCTGAGATGAGTCAAGTATTTGACCGCTGTTTAAATTTTGACCGCTGTTTACCTCACATATCTGAGATTTCTGATTCAACCCAAAGAACGGGTTGCGGAACCTTTGCATCCTCGAATCCGCCCAATTTCTTTACTCAAAAGTTTATGGCCCTCGGAAATATCAAAATTTTGATGTTTTGACCGGTTTTTGAAATTTTTCGAGGATCTTCTCAAATTTGAATTTACAGTTTGCGTGATGCTCTTCTGCTCGGAAACTTTTTGAGTTTCGGAAAGTGATGCTCGGAAACTTTTTGAGTTTCGGAAAGTCAAGGTTTTGAACTTTTGACCATTTCTAGATACTTTTTGATTTTTCTGAAAAACTACCCTATCTGAGATTAAAAAAAACAATAGAAAAAACCGGTTGCGAGAGTTTTTGCTGAAGCAGCGGCAACTCCTGACTTTTGTTGAAATTTTGGTTTTTTTTTTGAAGTTTTGGATTTATAAAGCAAGTGAATTAAGAAACATACTGCAGGCTATGGATTCATCGCGTTCGACAGTTAAAACATTGACTCAAACTGAATTTTGGCACTGGCAATCAATATTTCTTCGCCCAAATTACGTTCACATTGTAATGATCGATAACGATATCTGGTTAAGAGGAATCTTGACAGAAACATTGCATGTGACACTCGGTTCAAAATCTTAGAAGCACGGATTTGCTCCAACTCATGATGATCAATGATTTAACTCGCTAGAGAATATGAACTCATTTCTGGTTTAGGTATAAAACTCATGAAAGTTCAAATATCGATTGACTTGATTCAAAAGTTTGAACTTTAATGTATGTTTGAAATCATTTGAGTTACACATTGTAAATATTCATTATGTTTCGAAGGTTTTAAGCCTCCTTATTGGCTTCTGAAAAAACGATGACAAGTGTGCATGACTGGCATAAATCTTGAATAGCATAAAAATCATTCACATTTTTATCGACTATCATAAAAATCAAACACGCGCGGCATTAACCAGTCAGTAAAGACGGCTTAACTCGTTGCGCGTACACGGTGCAAATGTGCTGTAATTCGCGAGAATTAATAATTGCCGCTATATTCAAGTTGCCAAATATTTGATGCAGATCTGCGTTCAGATATAAATTTCTCGAAATGCATTTATTTCACTGAAAAACAACTCTTATGCACTATTGAAGTTGTTTTCTGTGAGATAAATTTCGTAAAAACATTTGAGAAATCGTCATCTATTCTGTATTACACAACTAACGCTTGCAGTTGATTCGTTGTTTACCCTTGCGATTAGCAATGGTGTTGCTACAGGGCAATAGACTATTTCCCCCTTGAAAATTTTCTTCACAGGATGACTCAACTTTGTAGTCATCTCCAACTCGGTAATTTTGTTTCTTTCTGACAAATTTTGAGCGTGTCTGCATTTGAAATGCCCGTTTTATTCGAAATTTTTGTTGGTTTTCTGTTTTTCCTTCATTTCTTTTAAAAGCTTTCCGGCTTATTTTATATCGGCTCAGCTGCCTCATTTTGAGTCGTTTGATGAGCAAAAAAAGGTTGTTATCTAAATGTTTTAAGGGGAAACATAACCACTTTTTTTTAGGGTTTTTAGGTTTCATGAAAAAAAAAAATTTCTGCTCAATAGTTGGCGGCCTAGTAACTGCTTTCTAAGTTTGATTCCTTGCTCAGTTAGCATTCATTGACTTATATGGCGTGTTTTTAAGAAAGAAATTTTTTTACAAGAGACAAAGTTCTGAAATGCAAGCTTTGCATTGAATGCAAGCTTTATATTGTTGTTGTTGTGAAGGCCCTCACAGCCTATGGGTGTTTTCTGTGGCTTTTTCGGGGTCTGTCCGAAGGGTTTCATGATAATTTCCGAGGCAAGACATCGTGGGATGAACTGTCCCTGTCTTGTTTTGACAAATGTGGCATTTGTCTGTGTCGGATGTTTGATGCGAATTTACTGTAAAAACCGCTTCTTAGTTGCGCAAGTCTTACTTGTTCTTCCCCTTTCAAGTTTCACTCGAGTTGCTCTCTTTTTTTGTTTCAATGGTGGTGAGTCGTTCAGCACTCGATTAGAGGCGAGATTTTGAATGGCTTTGATGACATAAGCAGTGTTTAGCTCTTTGTTAGTTGTTAAGTCTTCTTCGATGTTTAGTTGAACAGTTAAGTGGTTGTTGAGGGATAAAATCATTTTCCTGTCGTCAGGTTTCTGTCAGAATACTAATTCGTGGCATGGATGATTGGTTTTTCGTTCGGCGTTTCCCGCCTCAGATGATCTACTGCGGAAATACGTAGGCATCCGGCGGCTATGCGCAGGGCAGCGAGCGTTATCACTTCGTTTAAGAAGCATTTTCAAACCTTAACAAAAACGTTTCCAGATAAACAGCTTGATTACACAATTGTTACATTATTTGAGTTGACATTTTCAATTTAAAAAATATATCAAATTTAGCTACTGCATGCTTTTAGTGGTAAATACTGGTTGCCTTGACAGCGTTATCTTGCTTTATTTTTGATGGTTTCTGATAAATTGATTTCCGGGTTTTTCCGTTTAATTTTTTTTTCGGCTAGTCGCCTCATATTGCCTTATTTGACGGGCTAAAAGTTTCTGCATGTCTGTTGTAACGGGACTTAAAATGGTAGTGTTGAAATTTTTCACTGCAAAAATTTTTCCTCGTCGACTTAAGTATTGTTGACTTGGTTACGGCTGCATTCATTTTGTTGCGTTGCTAGTGCGTCAACGAAAATCGTCTTCATTGTAAGTTTTCCTCAAGATGCACTTCATTTAATGCAGCTCGGTCAGCTTGTTTTCAGAAACTTTTGTTTCATCGCTTTTTTACAACGATTATTTGAGCTCCAGGCTTTCATCTTAATTATGTCGACTTGTTGTGTGGTAGTTCAAGTGACGCGAAGGTCCTTTTCGCCTCTGTTGCATACAAATGTCTTGCTGCGAGTTTTTGGAAGTTTAGATATCTGTTACGTTACTGCTTTCTATCTACTGCTGACAATTTTCGCTGTCTTAAACTAAAAACCAACATGTCAGTTCGCCAGCAATGATTGAAATATGGTTATGTTTTTAAAATAAGGAATCATAACTTCGTTTTAGCTTTTTGCCAAGTTGTCTGCGCAATTGGTGTTTTATTAAACTCATGTTTCAAAATTCCTATGTTTCATGTTTAAAACATACTAATTTGATGATATATTTATGTGGATCAACGTTTTATTCATTATTTGTACAACTAATATCAAGTTTTACCGGGTCGGATGTTTATAATTAACTTTTTGTAAACTAATTGAGGCATGATAGTTGGTAATTTTTTTTCAAATTGACGGGTACTGCAAATGCGTCATAATTGGCGTGCGTCACTTAATAAATTTCGACTTCAGGTTTTAGTCATTCAGTTTTTCCCAGTAGCATTATCGGTCATATGTTTGGTTTTTTCGAGTTCAAAAAACAAGCAACGCTTCTAGTATAAAATCATAACTGACTTTCAACCAAAGTCGCAGTTTTCGGAATTGATGTTTGGATTTTCTACGCTTTCTTGTTATCCTGTTTGTTGTTATTTAAAGTGCTTTGTATTTTTTCCTGTTCTCTATTTTTGAGAAGCGTGTAGGTTAATTTTTGGCTTGAACTTCAAATAATTGAAAAATTGTTGTTGGCTCATTCTTAAGAGTTGATAAACTTGCTGACGACTTTTCGAAAGGTCTCGGAGAATTTCGTTCATTTCTTTTTCAGGAAAATGGTTCACGCGCATTTGAGTTTTTACTGTGCGACTTTTGACTTCTTTTTAAATTAAGTTCGTTTTTTTTTTGTTTAAGAAAGGCAAAATCCCTTATCGAACAGAATAAGTGGAAATTTTACGGCAAAATGATCGACTTCTATTTTCGAAAGTTAGTTTTTATTTTCAGGTTACCCTGCGGAATGAAAAAATTTGCTTATCAATCCAGTTTTATCAAATTTTTTGATAACCTTTACTTTCAAAAATCAATATATATTGATTGTTGAAATTAAATGGTTATCAAACAAGTCAGCTATTTTCACTGGCGAGTGCACGTTATTTGTAATCACCGGAACAAAAGCCTTTTCCCGTAAACATTTTTTACAGGTCCATAAAACGTGTACCTTGCTAAAATTATGAAACCTCAAAAACTTCCAAGCCCTTTTTTGGTCCAGAAGAAACGTGCGTGCCTGGAAATCCCAAGATCTGTTTTTTTTTTTCGAAATATCTTGAACTGAATTTTTTTCTGGGTAAACTAAAAGTGTAGACTATCGTTTTTTTAATAATGGTTTCGGCGTATTTTATATCGGCTAAGTTGACGTGTAAACGGTAAAAATTTCTTTTTGTGCGTTTTTTTTTGCCTCGGTGGACGCAACAACTTCTAGCCACAAGTTTTTTGGCTCAGCGGACGTCTGCACCCTTTTCGGCTCAGCGGATGTCTACCCAAGTGGTTATGTAACACTGGACGTTTTTTTCTTAAGTAAATTTTTTTCACTTAGTTTTTTTTGCGACCTATTGGCTTCCTTCTCCGCTATATCCGCTAGGATTCAATGCTATGTATGTGATGTCTCATAAAGTTTGCCAATATCTGATTCGCCGTTGTATTCAACTATAGGTTCCACTCTTTCTTACTGTAAGAGTCTAAGCGTTTTTGATTTCGAGAAAAGACTGATTTGTTTTCAAGCCATTTCTATGGATACTACAATAAAAAACCTTTTTCATGAACTATATTATAAACTTTTATTGCATGAAAAGTGTGGAATTTATAGCAGTTTTTCACATTTCTTTTTTTTACTGCTTTTCGAAGGTGGGAAGAATTATGGCTTAGGGTCTGTTTTCTTAACCCTTTTTTGAAAAACTCAAAGATAGCTCGTTTGGTGTTAATTTTGGTATCATATTAACAGCCGTGATTCGTAATTAAAATAGCATTTTTTCATTGTTGATAAAACTGGTCTGATTTTTCCCCCGTTCTTTAGTCTTAATTTGATTGGCCGATAAGAACTTGATTAGAGGCTGACCTCCACGCTTCTTCACTCTACTACAATTTTAATGTAAATTTAGCTGCTTATTACCTGTCAGGTGTACTTTTTTTATCTAGAACAATCGCTTTTTCTATAAACTAAATTAACAGGAAATTTCAGTCAGAAAAAATGAAAATGAAAGGTGATTGTTTAATTATTTTTGGCTTTGTTCTTCAATCAGAGTAGTCGGAGTAATCAAGGCTTTTTGCACCGCATATCGTTGTTGAATTTTGGAAATGGTAATTTGTCTTAGGCCTTATTTGATATTGAGGCCTGGATGTTAAGTGTAATCCTTGCAACTAATTATCGTTGATTTTCAGATGTGAATTGATGCCATCACAAGTTATCGAGTCGCGCGGGAGACTCATTACCCTTCCCGTCAGACCAAATGCCAAAGGACCTCGAGGTCTGTATCCTTTGGCTGACCCAGAAGAACAGGCCATAGAAGACAAATATAACTCAATCACCAAACCACTCACTCTCCTGTCAGACTTCGGAGACCAGAAACCAGAAATAGTTGTCACCAGTAAAGATGGTCGACCAACTACGCCTGTGCAAAAGGCAGTCACATTTATACCCACAAAGTTAGACGACCTTAATAATGTAATTCGGAAACGAATTTGCCCAAATGAAATTTTGCCTTTGTCGGTTGCGGACCAGCAATGTCTAGCTGCCATTATATTGGGCGAGATTTCCAACCAATGGGAAGACTTGAAAAAGATGCCAGAAAATCCATTGCTTAACAAATCTGAAAATGTCGAACTTGTAAGGAGGTGTTTCGTTCACGTGGTGTCAGTTTGTGAAGAATTGTTTTTCCACTACAATGCGAAGTTAGAGTTGCTTAATAAATCAGGAGTCTTTACGGGACCAGCAAACATTGCAAGACTCAGAGGTCAGCTAGCTTTAGATGCGGATAAGTTTCTCAATGTGGGTTATATACGCAGGCGAATTGCTCGCGAAATTCTGGGAAATGTCACTGGATCTGATGTTCAGGCAAGCCAAAGTTTTAATTCACGACGTTTATTTTTTTAGGTTCAATACGGTTTAAATTTCAATTGAATATTCAATTATGTTTTTCTTTTCAAATAGTTCGAGATATGGTTCTGACTGTAAACCACAGAGCTTTGAGCAACTTTGTTTTGTTAATCAGGTCGCGGGACAAGGACCTAAGCTTCACCTTACACAAGACGAACTATTCGACAAGAGTCGTCCTCATAAAATAAAAACAATCATAACAGTCGCACAGCGGGAGATCAAAGACATGATGAAGAAAATGCCAGCTGATCTGGACATGGAAGCGGTCACTGATCTCATTCCGAAGAAAGCGATGGAAATGGGGGTGCATCATGGCGGTCACGTGATTCCTGCAGGGGGTGCTATGAGTGAGAGGGACAAGCAGCTACAAAAAGAGAGGGGGAAGTTGAGAGGAGATGGGATGAATGGGGCGAATAATGGGGTGAAGCTGACCAGAAGCAGATCACACGAAACAATAAGGTGTTTTTTGTTTCCTCGCCGAAACTTTTTAAGCAACGCATACTTCTCAAGCATTTTTTAGCATTTCACCATCTAAAGTTTCCGTCGTATTTTTTTTTGCGGCAAATTTGTTCGGACAGCCGTTCTAAAATTTCTTCAAAGTTAGCTTTTAGTTCAACTAGAGACATCGTTTAGTGTCAACATACTTTCTTAAGTGTGCAGTTTTTCAGCTGGCGCTTCTGTGTAAAATTTAGTAGGATGACACAAAACGACAAAAAGTTGACAAAAAGACAGTGGGAAAAAATATAGAAACCAAACTGCATATGAGGTGCGTCGTAATATTGCAATAAGCTCTTGTGTCGCTAGCCCTAGTGTTTTCGGTAGCCTCTAATCTTTTTGAATGATACAGAAAGATTCGATGAACTTAAAAATCCTAGATGCAACCCTGATGTAATTATGCTTCTAGATGGGACGCGGACAAGTTTGAGGACGAGATAGGAGAGTTCCGGCCGAAGCCATTGCTGATAGATGTGCACGAGGATGCCATGTACGATCTAAGGAGGGAGGCACTGCCCAAAGACAGAATATACACTCCTCCAAAATCTCCCGTGAGTTTAGAAAGTGCTCTGGTCTTCCATAGCATCTGTTCTCTACTTTATTTGTGGCTAGTGTTTGGTACCTATTAAGCGTCCGTGGCTGAGTGGTTAGTTTGTGAGAGTGGTTAGTGTTCTAATCTCTATGTTGCAGGTTCGATCTCATACGTGGATAAATTTTTCTAATTCGAGGCTTATTTCTAATTTTACTGCACTTTATAGAGTTGCTTTTTGTCGTGTTTTTGCTAGTGTTTGCGAATCGAAGCTTTGCCTCTGTGTCGATACTTCATGTGTGGTTTGTTATTACCAATAAAACAAGTACCAGGTTCCCAATGAAAATGTTGAGGCATTTTTTGAATTATTGCAACAATTCTTATTTTGCACAAGACGTTTTAACGGATGATAGGATGTTTTCAGTTTTGGAATAGATCGGAAATTATAATTAGAAAAAAATGTCGTTGTTCACTGCTTCTCGAGGTATCCAAGTCTGAATTTTAAGCTAATTTTTACACTTGCGAGAGCAAGTGTCTCGTAATCGGGAACGGTCGGACTTTTTTTTAGGTATGTATGCAAATTCCGGTAAAAATTGTTGTCGGAATTTCGTTTGTCTGCTAAAGTTTTATTGACTTAGTTGCCTTATACGGATTTAGCTTGTGTTTAAACAACTTTCATTGTAGTTGCAAATGGAAGTGTTGTTCAATCTAGTTTCAGCGGGGAATTCAGACTGTTTTAAAAAATATATTTTTTTTTCGGCTCAACTGGTGTCTGCTCAAGGATGTCGTGTCCACAAAACGAATTTTTCTTGTGTTGTTAGCAAATTCATTGTAGCTACAAGTGCAAGTGTTGCTCATTTTTTATGAAATCTTTTTTTGGCTTATTTTGTATCTGCTCAAAGATTGTTTCCTTGTAGATTTTTCGTTGCTAATTTAAATTTCAAATGTCTGACATATTTGGCTACAATGGACGACCCACGAAAATTTAATTCTTGGTAACGGGCAGTGCTCTGTAACCCAATTGGGTTCGTTAACTGTCCCCTCACTGTTTCTGGTGCTTCATATTTAAATTCTCGTTGTATGCAAATTTACCATTAATAATGAGAAATAAATTTTTTCTTTCTTTACCTAGTTTTTTTCAACATTTTTCATTTTTTCTCTCATGTTTTTTTTATATTAGTGTTATATCGCAAGTGATGCGAAGCTCCGCTTCGCCTCTGTGTAGAACATTAAATTTAGACATGGAGGTAAGGAATAGTAAAGTTTGAGTTCCTATTAGGTCATTATAAATTTAGATGTGTTGTATATTGATTTAGAGCCGTAAGTTGAAGTCGACTCCTGAGGTAACTGAGATAGACCAAGAGTTCATCAGGAAGGACTTGGAGGAGAGGAGCAAGTATGTGCCTCTGAAGGATCTGAATGAAAACTTGCCTGAAGAGGAAGAGTTGCCGCCTCTGCTGCAGGCCTCCTCAAAGTACAACCACGTGGAAGGTAATTAACTAGATTAGTTGCAAGTGAATACAATTAACAACTGAGTTGAATCCGTTGAAATTGGTACGGTTTGAGTGTTTGAATAATGAGAGACAAATCATCAAATCATTTGTAATTTTTTTCATGTGATTGTTATTTTTTAAATGAAACTTTCCTTCGCAAAGCGCAGCTTCGCTTCTGTTGTTTAGCCTTCGGCACTTTATTCAACAAATGTCGCACATTAGTGTGTGAAGTTTATGTGTAATTGGTTGAACGTTTTGGGGGTGTAGATATCATTGTGACACTTTCGTGATTTAACTTGTGCTGCGTTTTCAGGTAGATTAGAGGCTCTGCAGAAGAAGTTGGCTGACTTGGAGCAGGCTGAGCGTGATGAGTTGGAGAGACAGAGGAAAGAACTGTATGAGAGTGCCTCCTCAAGTGAGCCTCGACATCCACAGCCGGCTGTTATTTCCACCAAATTGCCCAACTTCATGGTGGTGAGTCATTTGAATTAGAAAAATATTTTTGTTTCTCAAATTAGTTAGTTATTTTGACCATGAGAGAAGGAACTTTGTATTCGGGCTATGTTTTTCCACGCAAGTCAGATAACCAGAATAAAATTTTCGACTCGGTCGAATAAATATCGTACTAAAAGCCTTTTCAGTTCTGGTGCGAGTCACAATAGCTATTCGCAAAGAATTTTTCTGTGACAATAAATATCAGTAATACGTAAGAATTAGAAAAATAATTTATTTTTTAATATTTGTACTATAGCTTGGAAAAGTGAAAAAGCTAAGTTTCAAGAGCCGAAGAGATAATAATAATCATAATAATAATAATCATAATAATAATAATCATAGTAATAATAATAATAATAATAATAATAATAATAATAATAATAATAATAATAATAATAATAATAATAATAATAATAATAATAATAATAATAATAATAATAATAATAATAATAATAATAATAGTAATAATAATAATAATAATAATAATAATGAATTCAGAGTAATAAAACTCTAGGGGTAATAACCCCAAGTACACATTTACAGAATGAGTGCTTGCACAGAAGAGCCATGAGCTGAGCAGTTTGTACAGTCGCAGTTTAGCCGCCACGTGCAAGGGTTGTTTTCGTCGTACAGTTGGGTGAAGTAGGCCCAAAAAAGAGAGGTCAGTTTTGTTTTAAGTCCATCGCTGTCGAAGAAATCTATGAACTTGGGATCAATGAAGTTAACAGTTTTTACAGTTCGATACCAGAAATTTTGCCTGCAATTTTTGTTGTTGCTTTGTCTTGTTGTCATCCGAGGTGAGGAGGCGCGTCTTGTACCAGTATATTGAGAAAAACCAATGTACTCATGCCAGTTTATGTCAAACTTGTTATTGATGATAGAGGACAGGGTGAGGAGGTCGTGCATTTCCTCGTAAAGAGAGAGTGGAAGGAGTTTCAATTTCGTCAACTTCTGTTTATAAGTTTGGCCTGGAATGTAGTTGAGCACCCAAGAGACACCTTTTTTCTGAACAGCTTCTTTCGACTTCTAGTCGCCTTTGTTGAGATAGACTGCTTGAGAACCATATGTAAGGATTGGTACAATGTAACCACAGTAAAGCGCTAGTTTTGTATAAGTTGAAGCAGAGTTTGAGGTGTTTCGCTTGATAGAAAAGAATGCTCGAACAGCTTTCTCACAGCGCGATTTGGCGTGGTTGCTCCAGGAAAATTTCCTGTTGATTAAAATCCCAAGATCGTTTTGAGTCTCGATGGTGTCAACGCGTTCAGTGCCGATATAATCTTCGCAATCTCCTTTTATGTTCAATATTTTACATTTACTTGAGTGGACTTTCATTGAATTTTCTTCACACCAGGTACTGAGTCTATTTAGACAGGCTTGGAGCGACGTGCAGTCAGATGAAATCATTTTGTAGTCATCGGCGAAGCCGAAGGGCTTTGTTTGTTCGAGGTGAGGAGGCAGGTCGTTGATATAAATAAGAAATAAAAGAGGTCCCAGGATGGAGCCTTGAGGTACTCCACTGTAGATGGGCAGAGGGTCAGAGAGGCTACTACCGACTCTCACTCGTTGAACGCGTCCGGTGAGATAGCTTTGTACGAGTTTGTAAAGTTTGCTTCGGAAACCAAGTGCCCAAAGCTTCTCGAGAAGTCTGCCGTGGCAAACTGTATCGAAGGCCTTTTCGAAGTCGATGTACGCAACGTGAAGCTCTCCTGCATCTTGTAATTTGTCATAGACATGATCGAGGAATGCCAGCATTTGGACAATGGCTGAGCGTTTTGGACGGAACCTGAATTGGGAGGCATGCAGGTGCGGCCGTACATGTTCATAGAGTTTTTCAAAAATTAGTCTTTCGAAAACTTTCGATGTTGTGTTCAGAAGCGTTATTGGACGATAGTTGAATACCAGTCTCTTGTCCCCTTTCTTGTGTATTGGAACTGTTTCGCTTGTTTTCCAATAATCGGGAAAGACACCTTTGTTAATGCAAGTTTTAAACACGGTGCATAAGGACTTGACTTCTGGGAGACGCTTCAGCAGTGTGTTGGGGATTCCATCCGGTCCTCTTGCTTTGCCTTCAACAAGCTTGTGTTTTATCTGTTCGACAACGGCAGGATTTACCTGGATGTTCGTAACCTCTTTCGTGTTTGTGTCGACTAGGCTCGGTTTTCTTGACTGGGAGTACACGCTGTTGAAGAAGCTGTTGAAGAGATTGGCTTTATCTCCGTCATTTGTCGCACTCGTGTCCCCCCATGATACCACATTAGGGATAACACGAGTTTTTCTGATGCTTTTGAAGTATCGATGCAGCTGCGAGAAGCAGCGACTGCCAAACGTATTCTCCTCAAATTCTATGCGATCGGACTCCAACTGCTCGTTGATGGTTGTCGTCATAGGAGTTATTTTTAACTTCAGAGCACTGGTTGGTGGCATGTTGCCTCCTTTCCTTTTCAGGGTTTCCAGTTTTTTGATCATATGGGAACACTCGCGGGTCGCCCACGGGGGAGACTCTTGCGATGCTTTGTTACAGGGGGAGCATTTGAAGATACTTTTTCATGAAGCCATGAGTACCAGTGTTGGATGAGAAAATTGACACTGCTGTAGCAGTGAGGAGTGAAGATATATGCGGCTATCTCTCGTGAAAGATTTTCATAGTCTAGCTTTTTGTAGGAGTAACTGGAGAAATCCCAATCTTTATCGCGAGGTTTCCAGTGCTCATACACTCCTGTTGGCGAGCTGAGTACGGTAGTGTAGTGCCGATGATCTGAGCAATGGCGGCCATTTGTTTTATATAGGTCATGAAACTCCACGTCACAATAGGATGTTACGACCAGCTCGGGGTTTGTACAAAGTACAACATCCAGTTGCCCAAGCCGGAAGTTTCTAATTGTTGGAATCCGTTTTCAACCATCATTCTAGTATGGAGTCTTCGCACGGGTTGGACGAGTGCATTGTAAACCAGTTAGTATGAGTGAAGTTGATGTCACCTGTGAAAATAGCGGCTACTGAGTTTGACTACTTCTGGGCTGCCGACAGATACTCTATAGCTCTGATGAATTTATCTGCAGTCCATTGGTATTGACTACCACTGGGCGCAGAATATGCGCAACCGATAACCACATTGAAGTTTGTTCCGGGTATCCAGACTTTAGTCGCAACAAAATCCTCGAGTTGAATATCGCTGAGAGGTGATGACATTAAATGTTCTTCGACAGCTATGAGGACTCCGCCATGCTTGGTTTTCCCATCAGCACTCTCCCGCTCACTTCTATACAAGGTGAATGTTTCCAGAAACAAGCTATTGCTCGGGATGTTTTTGTAAGCCAGGTTTCTGTGAGGCAGATGAGCTGATTGGTATTCATTGAAAAAAGTGAGTTTGCGATAGTCATTCTTCTATCTAAGTCTAGGAGGCTTCGCACGTTATAGGTAAGCATTGATAAGTTTTGACTCTTGGGTAGTCATGACGATTCGGCAAGCGTGCTTTGGTCGATGCCAACTTTTTCGCATGTATTACCAACTCTTTCTTGCAAGATTAGATCACGGATCCGCAGGCAGCTAGAATCCTTCCCATCTGTTATCATTTCTCTGCGTTTCTTGAGTAATAAGTTTTCGAGCGCATATTCCTTTTCGTTCAGTTCTCTGCTTATAAAGAGTTTCACTGGATAGTCTTTGAGTTTGGGAAGAGACAGAAGAATGCGCCGCCGATCGCATGGTTTTTCGACGTTTGCTATTATGGTCCTCGGTCTGGCTGGGTCATACTTTCCAAGTCTTCTAACGTCTGTTGCTTCGCATTGTAAGCCAAAATGCGCGAAGATTTTATTCACTTCGGCAAGGTCGTGCTCAAAACGCTCGCTAGCAACTCGGTTTCCAACTTCCGGAAGCCCGTGGATACGAATACCATCGCGTTCTTTCTCAACTTGCTTCGTTTGTTCAAGGTCGAGTTCGGGGGAGGAATGCTTGACAAGTGGCAGAGAATTTTCTTCCAGCTTATATAGTAGAACATCTGAATATTTTTGGAGTGCTTCGTCCGACTTGCATTTGAGAGAGGCTTCAGCCTCCTTTATTTGGCTTTTGATTGTTTCTAGTGCTGCTTGTTGACGGGATACCATGGAGACCACAGCATCTCTTTTCCCATTGTCGGAGCATTTGTTGCAAATCATAAGTATATTGTTGCGGACTTCGCTTAAACCGCTCAAAAGTGACTCCGAAAAACCTATGCAGGTTTTAGTCCAGTGCATGGTGTCCCCGCATGCGATGCAAACAAACACTTCATCAGTCTCTGTGACAGGATCTTCGCACGTTTTGCAATTGAGAAGCATCTTAATCAGATTACTGAAGTAATTAGATTGACTACTTCGCGACAAAAGTATTCGAAAAAGATAGCGACAAAAGTATTCGAAAATTGAAAATTTTCAATTTTTCATTTATGCAAAGCTATTCACAGTAACCGGCTATTTTTGCGTTTAAGATATTTACTTCGCAGCTTTATGCATCCAGTTTGAATAAGCTGTCCATCTTCATGAATTCGTTGTGATTCATCAAAATTTAATTTTTTAAGACTTGATGAACGTAATGAAGACTCTTTTATACACTAGTGGGCAAAATTAAGCGCAACTTCAAGGTTTTATTCTGTAACATACCTATTCTCAATGTAAGGAGAGCAAATAATCAGAGCTACCATTTATGAAGCTATCAACTCTTGGTTTCAAGGATTCACCAATGTAATCCGGTTCTAAAAATACCAGTTTTCCTCATCTGTATTAAATTTTGCATCGCAATGAAATCTTTCTTGAATGAGCGGAGTAAAAAGTTTGTTCCTGCGACGTGAAACATTCTCAGCGAGAAAGTTGAAACAATCAGTGTGAAAACTTTACTAAACTCGGGCTCTTGTTACTTATTCACGCGAAGTAAAAAAAAAACTAAGTGCAAATGAGGAAAACTGACCTTTTCATACCCGGATAACATCGGTAAGTCATAACCAAGTGTTGATAGCTTCATGAATGGTAGCTCTGATGATTTGCTCTTGATCCATTTAAAAGAATTTCTGAACTTCGAACGAAATGTTGTCCAAAATGTATGTGCGGAAACAGGCATTTCACATAGTAAAATCCTGAATTTGCGCTTAATTTTGTGCACTAGTGTATGTCGTGATGATTTTTTTTTTCAGGAATTAGTTCACGCTCAAAGTTGATTTTGTTGAAAAGAAGTTAAGTGCCCTTATTGAACAGCAAAAATGTAAATGTCGTCAAAATCGTGATCGACTTCTAATTTCGAAATCGGATTTTTTTTTCAGATTTCCGAGGCGAATAAAAACTTTACTGATGATCCAGTTTTCTCAAATTGAGTTAATTTTGTCGAAAAACTTTATAAATTTTTCTTGAAATTCAAAGAGGTTGAAGGCCGAATATTTTTTTCTTGAAGTTCGAAAAATTGATTTTTTTTTCTGTTTCCTTGCGTTCATTCACTCTTTTTCATGTGTCTGTTGGCAAAGTCTTCCAAAATAGCTGATTTTTAAATCCGTCCCTTTATGTACTTGATGCTTAGGTGCGTACTAATGACGTGCGAGTATCTGACAGAGTTAGTCTGAACTCTTTGACTCTGAAGAGCTACCCACCCATCTTCGACCACCTCAATAATGAAGTGGACCACGCTACTGTTCGCAAACTGGACGCCCCACTGTTCTACGACGCCGAGATCAACGAGGTATAGATGGTTGCAAAAACCTGGGACACACCGAAACAATTGAAAAGAGCAATCTTTCCATTTTGACTAATTTTTACTTGCAAATCAGTTTTTTCAGACACTCTTGCGTCGGAAATTCGGTTTGATAAATTAGGTTTTGCATTCCACAGTTTTGCAAAATAGGCCAGTTGCTCTCTTCAATTCATTTTATCTGCCAGAAAATTTGCTTCTAATAATATAAGAATTGAATGTGTATATTATAATACGCGAAAGTAAAAACGGACAGAGTTAATAAAAAGAGCAATCTGCCCTTGTTGAGCAAAATTTGCATGCTTATTTGATTTTTCTGGAGACCTTGAGTCTCAAAAACTCTTTTGCTTGCAATTTTTTTTAAATAGATCATTTGCTTAGTGTAAGTTGTAATTTCCTCTGAATTTTTGTGGCCATAACTAAGTGGCTTAATGTTGTCAACGTATCACCACTTTAATAGCTTGCCGATGTGAGGAGTAGAAAGGATCGACTGCCCCTCCCCCCTCCCCTCAATTCTGGTTGCCAAATTTGTCCTAAGTGTCACCTCTTTGATTTTCTTTTACGATACGGCTGGCCAACCTCTGAAATTTTCTAAAGGCAGCTTCGGCGCTAATATAACTAAATTTGAGGGGGGAGCGCGCGCCGAAAAACGCAATTTTTCGGTCAATTTTTTTAAAGTGCTCAAAACGTCATGTTTACCCTGTTTGTTTTTGAAATTTGCCTGCGGCACAGAAAATGCTTGAACCAAATAGGGGCCTTATAGTGCTTTGGGATAGTTCGGAAAATCAAATTGGTCGACCTAAAAGAAGGTCGACAAAATTTTGAAAAATTTTCGCCCCCACCTAGAAAAGTTTCAGCGCACGCCACTGCACTTGTTCATTGAAATTACTCTATGGGATAAAACTTAAACCAGTGGAATTGAAATTCGCTTTAGCTGTATGATGAGTTGCTGAGTTCTGCACCTGGAGATCATCTGAACATGGAGTTGGACCCGGAGGTAGAAACGGCAGGATCAGGAATGAAACTTTCAGACTGCTCCTCCTCCCGATCTCTTTTTAAGAACCCATCGGAGAGAGTCGTCAACAAGGACCTCCAGGTGATATCAGAGGATATGGAACCTCCTTGGGCTGGAGTGGGAGACATGGAAGATTGGATGAAGATAGCTGATGGGTCTTTGAAGGGTTCACATGATATTCTGATGAAGACGTTGAGAAATAAAGGTGAGTAATCAAGAAGTTAAGTGTTTTTTGTATGCCTTCTATCAAATCTTATTGATAGTCTTTTTATAGCTATTTTTAAGTTTTCTCGCTTCATGACTCTGTTCCTATGTTAACTATGTTCAACAAAATAGAGTTAAAATTGCGCTCACATCTGATTTTTTGCGGTTTGACTTTTTATTTCTTCTTCAGTTCCATGCAAACTCAATGAAAGTACAAATGGCCCCAAAAATTAGGAGTGACGTCAGTTTTAAAAATGGTTATTAATATTCGAAGTTCCCGGCGAAAAGAAATTAAATTACTTGTTGACAAAGTTTTCTCTCATTGGTTTCGTTTTATGAAAAAATCTCATCCTAATTTTTTAATTCAAAGAGCTCCCTTGTATATTTTTTTTCTCAGAAGTTCGAAGGTTGAAAGTTCGAACGACGATATATCTGGATAAGTGGATGGCCTGTATATACATTGAAGTTCATAGTAATTGTTTTTCGTCAATCTTCAATATCGACAAAAAGTTTTATTCACAAATTTTATAATAAATTTGAATTGCCATAACTCCAGAAGTATATAAATACAACAACAGAAGCCGACTATTGGCAATTCATGCGTCTAAATTGTTATAGCTGAAATGAATGTGTGAAACACGTTATATTTATTGATTTGATGCATGCCTAATGCAGTTGTTCCTCAAAGTTGGCTTCTATGCTAATACTGCATTTAATCAGTCGACGGTTTTTTACTCATAAAATTGCAAATTTCTGTTTTCCTTAATCACACCATCGAAGCGTGGTGTACTACTACGATGCAACCTTTTTCCCAAGCGAAGTTGCAATTATTGGTGCTACTTTGGTTGCATCATTCTTTTCACAACAGTGGTAGAAACTACCCTGCCAACTTAGTATAAAGGATCACTCGAAAGAAACATGAGCAGCAATTTTGTCTGCTTGAGCAGCTACGTATTTTTGAAATTTTGTCTCTTATTGAAATTTAGTCTACTTTCGAAATTTTAACCGTTTTGATTTTCTCGAAAACTATCCTGTCAAATCTGAGAGGTTCAGTAGAAGGGTTCTATCGGAAGAATGGGCGGTGGGAATTTTCTCTGCGTAGCGGCTTTGCTCTAATATCTCAGAAAAGTAATGTTGGGCTTAAAAATGCATTTTAAAAATTTTGTTTGTTTTTGGAAAATTGATGCTTTTCTCGAACTACGGTGCCAAATCTGAGATGATTGTTTAATTGAAAAACAAGATCTAAGGTATCCCCTGCATAATCAATTTTTCTTAATTTTGGCAAGGAATTTGCTTTGGACTAAAGATTTTTTTGACTTATTGATCCATTTTTTTTTCGAGTTTGTTCAATTGCTCAAAAACGACAGTGCTAATTCTGGAAATAGGAAATCAAACGAATTGTGAGGTTTTAAAAATCTCCCATACAAAACTCTTTTCTCCGAAACCTGTACGAGGAATCAGCTATGGAATTGGTAAACGTCCACTTTTTGACATTTGACACATACTGAAAAATAACGCATTTCTTTTCGCATGTGTACATTTTATCAAACAGATTTTCCCATATTTAGTTGTGCCCCTAATATATTTTTAAGCAATCATAGCGCATATTCCAGGACGTGACAGTACTAATCTTTATCCCGGAAGTTTAATTCTGTCACACTGAGTTTGTTTGAGTTTTTGACGGTGGTTGCTGAATAGCCTTGTCAATTTAAAAGTTGCTGCTTTTCTGGTAGCTAGTGTCATTATAGTCCTGCTATCAAACAGTTTTTCCCAGATTTAGTTGTACCCCTAATTTTTTTAAGCAATCATAGCGAATATTCCAGGATGTAAGAGTTCCAATCTACAACCCGGAAGTTTAATTCTGTCACACCGAAGTTGTTTGAGTTTTTGTTGGTGGTTTCTGAATAGCCTTGTCAATTTAAAAAATGCAGCTTTCTTGGTAGCTAGTGTGATTATTTTTTCGAGAAATTGTGGTACAGATGCGAGAAGAAGAGACTCCTAGTCTCCAAGTTGGAAGTTTGATTCCGACAAATGGGAATTTTTTTTCACATCTCGTTTTTATCTGTTCTTTTTCTTTAATTCACTTTGTTTATGCTTTTGAGTTGCAGCTTTTGTCGCTTGTATTTGCTACGTGCAGCTGCTCTTCTGTGTAATTTTTATTTTAGCAGGTAAATTTCTAGGGCCTGATCATTTTCTAAATTTTTAGTGTCAAAAAATATAAAAATTTTTTTATTTATTTTGTTGATTTTTTCCTTGAAATTTTTTCAAGTTATATACGAATGCAGTTGCTCTTAAGTTTTCTAATTTTATGTGGCTTAGATTATATTTTTTTCAATGTGCATTGGGTGTAACTATTTGTATTTCTTCATCGCAGGTCATGCGCAGCTCCGTTTCGCCTCTGTATTTTCAAAGTTTTTCGAATTTGGTGATATTTGCGCAGTAATAAAGAACCTAAAACTAGACCTGTTTTTGATCATTGTGCTTACACTGGCGATTAGCGAGCGTTATTAAACTGGAATGTAGACTTTTTTCCGGTTAACAACTATTTTAACAAAATAGTTGAATCAGTTGCTGAGGAGGAGAAAAAGGCAGCTGACTTCTTTTCTATGCAGTTGACTTCTTTTCAGTTATATTCTCGTTATGTAAGATTCCAGGTTGCTCCCCCTTGGCCTGGAGGTAAATCAATTGCCTTTGTTTGTGCCCTAATTGAAAAAAAAAAGTTCCGAGAAAAATGAATTGTTGGTTTTACGTTTGTCTGCTAAATTGTCACAACGGATTTTGCTTGAGCTGTAGGCAATTTTGATTGTAATTGCAAGTGCAAGTGTTGTTCGTTCTAATTTCAGAGGAGACTTGAAAGGCTTTTAAAAAATCATAAAACATTTTTTCGGTCCAGTTGGTGTCCGCTGAAAAATTGTCGGCTTAGTGGCCACATCACTGATTTTTCTTGTGCTGTAAACAACTTTCATTGTAAGTTCAAGTCTGGTCCATTGTTGTTTAAGGTGGGACTTTTTTTGAAATCATATTTTTTTTCTGCTAAACTTTTGTCTGCTCAAAGATTGTCGGCTTTGTTTCTTTTCATAAACTATATTCCCTTGTTGCTGTTTTATAATTCAAGTGTCTGGCATGTTTGCCTGGAGTGAACTTCTATCGAGACATGAAACTTTATATGACCTTTTTTATTACGTTTTTTTCGGCTTTTATATATGTTTGTTGTATCGCAAGTCCTGCGAAGCTCCTCTTCGCCTCTGTAATAAAAATTAAACAATTTCCTGGAAGGAAGTGAAGACACTTATTGTTCCGACCATTTGAATAATGGGGTGGAACTTAGTATTCTCGGGTGAATTTTATTTTTTTTATTTTCAACCCAAAATCAGTTACCACACATTATCATCGGAGAGAGTTGAGTGATAAAAACCAAGCATAAAAAAACAAGCATCGAGAAAAACCGGTTTGAAAATTTGATTTTTTGTCTGAAAGCGAACAATAGCTTAATTTAAGCCATATATATATTTACTTAGTTTTATTCGAGTTAAGTTAGTTTTTTGAAAATTTAAGCACTTTTGTTCAAAACAAAAACTTCAAAAATTCAAAAAAGTACAAAAAATGGAGTGTTATGGAAATTTTTTTAAATGATTTTCGACTTTTTCTATACTAATTTCTACAAAAAATGACCCTAATTCAGAGAAAACGACACTGATTTAAAAAAAATGTATTTGAATACAATGGTCGGAACATTCTGTGCTCTTTGCACACAATGGACAGTTCTTGTCTAGGTATTATGGTTTTTTCATATTTTTGAACGAAACTTTGCTGAAGCTCTATTAAGGATAGCCCCTTACTGTGCAATTAGCACACAAAGTTCCGACCATAGTCTTAAAAGTTTTTAAGAAAATTTTTTTTTCAATTTTGTTTCGTTTTTTTTTGGGGTGGTGAGTTATTACTAGCGATTAGGCATATTCGACAGTCACAGTAAAATAAGCAAATTTAAAAACAATGTTTTTTTTTCAGAAAACTGACTAAAAAGAAAAAAATCAAAAGAAATTTTCGCAAATTTTAAAATTTTGTGCGGTTTTTCGAATTTTGAAAGGCGCTAAACAATCCAAAAAAATTAACGTTATTCGAGTAAAGTTGAAGTCTTACCTTTTAAATTGAGCTATCATAAGCTTTCAAGCTATTAAAAAAAGGGATTGTAAGCCTGCTCGCTCGCTTGATTCGCTCGAATTAAGACCAAAACATATAATCTGGTTTTTCTCGACAGTGAATTTTGTTTTATTGTCATTCGATTCACGACTCTAAAAATTCCTCCCCAAGTTTCAAATTATCGGAACAATAACAGTTACCTTCTGGAATAACGAAACTGGAAGTGCCGCGAAACATTTCTAATTATTTCTAATTTTTCTGAAGTGGAATAAAAAGTTGATCATTGATTCAGATGTTACAAAGGCAGTTTCGTTAACGAAAAAAGTGGTAATCATCAAGTTCTTTTGAAATTGAATGAGCTTAAAGGTGATATTTTTTTATATTCAAAAAGTTGAAAACTTCATGTCAAATTTTCAAATGTCTGTTGGCTCTGTTTTAGATGCAGGCGGCGTCGAGTTAAGTGGCGAGTCCTCCAAAGACCCTACGGCCCGCAACGCGTTAGGCGACTGGGTCGTGTGGTGGAAGAGTCAAGTTGATCACCAGGACTACCTTCGGTTCCTGGCGGCCTCCGAGTCGGACTACATGGCCCTGCTGTTCCACCTGTACAGGGACGAGGACGAGTTGGCAGCGAGTATGAAGGGCGACTCTGATTCGGAGGACGAGTATTTGAAGAACCCGAATGACAGTGTGCTGCAGATGTTACCGCCCAAGTCAAGAGAGAAAAATGCAAAGGTTTCATGATCATGTCAAATATTTTTTCTCCTGACAAAAGTTTTTTTTTGCGACTAGGTTCTCCATTCTGTCTGTGAACGCCAGTGCTATTTCGACTGCGCTCATAGAAGTGTGGACAGAAAATCATGATTTTGAATCTAATTTTGATGCTTTTTGGTTACTAAAACTCAGATCTCAATTGGGCAACGAAGATTTTTATATTTGGATTTGGTAAAATTTTGTACTCTAAATAAATATATGATAAGACCAACGAACTCAGTGATGCTGTTTGTTTTCAGCTGATAGAAGCAGTGCGCGAAAAGGAAAGATACTCCGAGGGATTCTGGAATGCCCGCTCAGTCAGCATAGGAGGACTAGGAAAACTGCCCAGTCAGAAGGAGGTGGAAGAATCCGTAAGTGGGCAGCAGATGTTAAGTGAAGAGGGTACTAAAGACTCAAAGGCGAGTGGGGGAAGTGAATGGGGGCACAAATCGGAATTGAGTGATCAGAAACCAGTGGTGCATAAACTTACACTGGCTCTACTGGAAGGAAAAGACAGAACGGTGAGTCGAGTCGTCTTACAATAATTTAAGTTGATTTGAAAATGCAAAGGGAGACCATGATTTGGAACGAACAAATTTGAACTACTGTTTCTACCTCTTCTCAAGGCCAATTTACCAACAATCAGCTCTTTGCTGCTTGCCGCTGCTGTTCCTTGATTAAAGAATTACATGCAACTTTCGCTTCAATTTTGTTAATGATTGATTTGTGTAAGAACATAGTATATTCTAGGATATGTTGAAAGAGCAAAGGAACGAACGTCAAAAACGAAAAGCTGCTGGAGCATCTTTGCAAGAGCGACTGGAAAAGGTGTGGAATGACCTGAGAGTACCGGACCAAATGCGACTGGACATGGCACTGAAGTACAGTGGAGAGCCATGGGTGTCCCAGATCTCCAGCGCCATAGCCGGATGGGAAAAATGTGCGGCTTTAATTCTAATCAGAGAACAAATTCTAACCAAATTAGAACTGTTCGAAACACACGCTTCAAATCCGGATAGGTTCTTCAGAAAAGGTTACGACGGATCATCCAAAATGAGAATAAAAGAAAGCAAATTGAGACAAGAATTTGATGCATCCCTGAAGAAAGTTGACGTTAAAATCAAAAAACACTGCGAGTATATCGAAAAGACTTTCAACGATGTGGTTTCGTATCAAGGAAGGCCTTACGTGCAGAAAATTAAATTCGATAGGACTGAAATGTTATACTGGTTGCAGCAGGAAAGAAGAGAAAAGGGATTGGAGAGAGAAATTAATGCACAGAAATTCCCTATTAATGGGCTAAATGGAAGCGGCGATAGACCATTGTCCTCTAGTAGAAAGAAAATGGCATCGCCTATCATACTAGAACCACTGAACTAATCAAAATTAGAGTAGCTGGACAAAATCTTATTTCTGTAAAGTTGTAAATAAAATAAAGTGTAAAAAGATGTACGTTTATGTTTATTATTTTAGCGAGTTCGACTAATTCGAAGTTTCACAATAAATTTTTACAACAAAACTAAAAGATCACCGATTAGCAAAACAAGCAGAACTTTTTCTTTTTGATTATTTCTGTAGTCTCTTCTAGGCGCAAAATACTAGGTGATCTTAAACTGGCCAAGAAGTTCATGTCTTTGGCTGAGCTGATTATTTCTACAAGAATGTTGTCAATATTTTGAGCAGTTTTTGCCGACACTTCAATGTAGCCTATTCCGACGTTTTTGGCGTATGACAGTGCAGTTTCGTTTGACACTGATCTGAATGAGAGGTCGAGTTTGTTGCCGATGAGGAGGATGAGATATCGTCTGTTCATCGAGAGAAGTTCAGCCACCCACTGTTGAGCAGTGAAAAAGGAGTTTGGGTTTGTCAGGTCGAACAAAATGAGGACTCCTTGTGCATTTCTATAGTATGTCGAGGCCAGGCTAAAACATATTTTAATTGGTGCAAGAAGAAATTGTATCACAAGAGCTAATCAGAATGCAATTATTGCTTAAAGATACGGTCTACGGAGTAATTTTTCGACTGGAATGTTGAGGCAAACTGGAAGCCCACCATTTTGCTTTCCCTCAAAATTAGCATCGCTATTTTGTTGCCATTTAGATCATTTTCATCACCGAAAATTTTTTGTTCGACCATGGAGATGCTGTCATGTTTGCTTGTCTATGTACTATCATCTTTAAGGATATAAAGCGAGAAGCGATGAAATAAATAAAAATCCGGTTTGATCGAATCATGTGGTGTGCAAGAATTTTGTATTCGATATTTTTTTCTCAAAAATAAGGTATATCCGATAGAGTCCAGAGCTTTTATACAGCAGTTTGACTATTGCAACACATTGGAAAAGTATTCTCGGTGTGGTGTACACAATTTCCGTCTAGGCTCATTAAGAAAAAAGAGCCGATTTGATCAAGTATTTAAAGTGAGCTAATTAGTGCTTTATATGATAAATACTAAGAAAAAAAAGAGGATAGACGAAGGGCAATCAATTCCCACTGAGAGTTTAACGTTGAGTCAAAAATAATGATTGATTTTTTTATTGAAAACAAAAAAAAAACACTTTTGTTTCCGAAATTTTTAAGATAACGAAGAGTTGTTCCAAATGCAAGGATCAGTCCTTCGCTTTTTATATGTGACTAGTTCACAAAAGGTAAAAAACTTTTTTGAAAAGAAAATTAAATTAAAGTTCTCAAAAATTTTATTTATTTTATTGAGAAATGTGACCATTACAATTTTAGTTGCCTTCTCTCGACATTGGTAGCTTTGTACAGATTTCTTGTCACAGTAACAAAAATCGAACTAGCTATATATTTTTTGAAATTCGAAAATTCAAAACAAATTACAAAACTGCTGTTTCTCGAATACTAAAAAGAACTAGAAAGGCATTTTTGCAGGACATATTCTCAAACTCAATTGCGCATATCAAGTGCTGCTTCGTTCCTGTTTTTACTTATATTGCTGCTCTACTACCTTTTCATTCAAAATTTTCGAAGAAAGACAATTTCGATGAAAACCTATGCTTCAATTGGATGCACCATGTCACCTACTTATAGCTAATTGAAGCCAGCAAACAAATCTCGGCTTACTTAAATCATGTCAGAATCTTCAGTTAGAAAGCAACGAAGGCACTGGAATGTAATCTATAATATAGATATCGACAGACACTACAAATATAATACTCAATTTAGTTCGATATGTTTTTCAATGAATGATGGGTTTTGTTACGACCATTTCAAATGGTGATAAACTTTGTCTTTTTCGTTTTTTTCCGGCCCTTGAAAATGGGGAGGAACTTTGTATTCGGGCGTATTTTAGTTTTTCTTTTCGTTTTCTACGCGAAATCAGGTACAAAAATAATCATCGGACTGCGTTGAGTGATATATCATATCAGAGCCCTTTTAAATTTCCAAAAAAAAGTCCAGTGTCGCGAAAAATTGGTTTGAAAATTGCGGTTTTTCGTCTAATTTCGACCAAATCAAATGATAACTTGTTAAATATGTCATTTAGGCTTGAAAAACTTGATTTTTTCCAAACGAAAACAAGTGTTGAAAGCTATGTTAAGCATTTACCTGGCAAGAGTTATTATTTTTTGAATCTTAAAAAAATATTGAGCAAAAAAATAGAAATTTCGAAATTAAATTTTTTTGCAGACAACTGTTTTCGATTATGCCTAATTTACTAAATTTTTACGCATGTGTATAGTGTTCTCATCACTTACTGCAAAAAAAACGACTTTAATGTGAAAAACTTGATAATTTGAAAATGTATTATTTGTAGTTCTTATGAATATCGTCGGAACATTCTGTGCTACTTGCCCAGCAACCGGCTAGTTTTGCTAGTTTTTTGTTCAATGCAAAATCAGGTACCACAAATAACCATCGGAATGCGTCGAGTAATATATCATGTTCAAGCCCTTTCTGTCATAATTCAACGGAGCCAGTTATTTCTAAAAACGTTTTCTCACTACCGAGAAAAACCGGTTTGTAATTTTTTTGATTTTTGGTTTTTAAATTTTGAGCTAAAAAAGCAGCGAGCAAGTAGGCTTATTATAGAAACAAATAAGCAGTAAAACTTTTATTCAATCCCTGAAAATTTAATTTAACTTCAGTTTTTTTTAGCGCCATCTTGTTAAATATTTTAAGTTTCTTTTTGTTTTTTTTTGTGGTCTTTTTTTGAAAAAACAGTTTTGCAAAGTGCCAATTTTACTACAACTATAGAATATGCCTATGTTCTAGGTCTGTGTTTAGATCCTTTCATCACACAAGTTACAAGAAAGGGCTATTTCATGAAAAAAATAGTGTTTTGTCGGAACATTGGGTTACTTGCGCACCAACAGGTTCTACTTGTTTTTCCTATGAATTTTTTTTTCTGTGGAATCGGTCACGCTCTGAATGCCATTTTCTTATACGTGTCTTAGAAATGTTAGCATAAAATCTCTCCCGATAAAACAGAGTTACTACGATTGGGAAATTGATACATATGATACAGAAAAGAGAAAGATTTACGGCCTGATTTGGGTGGTCGTCTGGAATATTTTTGTCATTGATAGATTGTTTGGTCTTTCGGTTGTGTCTTGTCTTTGGGTTAATTTATTATGAGTTTATCCCTGTGGCCAAGATTAAAATGGAAGAAAGTTAATCCTGGCTCCGAAGATTTTATCTATGCAAAAAGCAGGAAATGTACTTCCCTAAATCGGTATTGTGTCTATATATACTGCCTTGAGATTCAAACTCCCAGAGGACGGAAAACTTGTTAAAATTCCAATGATTTTGAAATCTGAAAACAGCTCAGAAACCAGAAAAACTTAACTTTCGTCTTCATTTCAGAATGAGTTTTAATCTGTTTTAATTTTGAAAGAGAACCTCGTAATTTTAACAAAATAATGTGTCTTGCAAAGCAATACGAACTAGAAACTACAGTGCAGTAGTTTTACTTAAACGTTCAGCTGAAAGGTGGATTTCTGGCGCTCATTTAAGTGGCGCCCAGTGTTGCCATAAGTGGACTACTATCTACCTGTGGTACTGTTCTTGGCCCGCTGTGTCCCATATTTGGAACTCGTATATTTTGTCTTCGAAGGGAACACTGTGAACAAAGAAGGAAGCTCCAACTGTGGGACTGGCATGAGTATTGAAGTGACTCTTTGTCATTCTGTGGACCAGACTAGTTTTCCCAACTCCGGCGTCTCCCAGAATAGCTAATCTGAATTCCACTTTTGACATTCCGATCTCAATTTATTCATATAAACTCATTAATTTCTGCCTGAGTAATTTTTGAGCAAAGTTCGAAAACAAACAATATATTTGAGGTCCACTGTATATTAAACTAAAGCAATGTTCCGAATTAGATTTTATGTTTAGGTTGGACGTTCGGTGGATTTGTAAATTTAGTTTACAGCTAAAAGCAAAGAATTCTAACCGCTATCAAAATGTCGAATTGTATGTCATCATTGCGCTAACATAGCGAGTTTTGATGTGCTTTTCTTTGATGGGCAATCTTAATGTGCAGTTTGATTGTCAATAGCTCAAGTTTTTGAAATGTTTATAAATTCAGTTAATGATTGAGTTACTTAACTGGTCTTAATATTAAGATGCTGAAATGTCTGTTATTTTTTTGTTCTTGCTAATGTAGGATTTCTACCGTTGTCCTTTTGAATTATTTTTGGTACTCTGTAGCACTCATGGTGAAAATTAATTTGAATCAGCTTCATTTCACTCACGATTTTATAATGCTTCACTAAGTGACTAGACAATCAAGACATCGTAGGGCGTTGTGCGTTTTATCGCTGGGATATCTTAGCGGGCGTAATTCAAACTTCTTCTGAAAGAGGTACAACGCAGCTGTCTCTAGAAGCTTAATTTCATTATATAGATATGTTATCCACGCGGGAAAGGACCAACATACGGGCTGTTTAACTTTTTACAGAGAACCGCCGATGTGACCCGGGTATAACTACATGCAGTTTTTTGCTCTGATTTTTGAAGAAAGTAACGGAATGAGAGGAGCGCACAAGAACTATTTTGATTTTTTATACCAGACTTTAAGTTTCGAAAACCGGGAATGAGCAAACTTGAAAAAACTGATATATATGCGTTGTCAGCAGCAGTATACAATGAAATTTTTTATCAAAACATGGATTCAGTGAAATTGGATCAGAACATGCATTAGGTCAGTTTAGTGCGTGAAAGTCAAAATCTATAATTTGTTGACCGATACTTCTGAAAACCGGCTTTCAGTTTTTTTCTAAATCTAAGGCGGATTTAGGGGGGGGGGGGGCTGCCAACCCGAAGTACCCTTCATTGTACTATTTTGAGATATCCATATTTGGCTGACTGACACTAAAATTTTTCTAAATTACTTTCCAATTTTCCAAAAAAAAACCTTAAAACGCTTTTTGGCCTGCTTCGTTGAAAAATGGTCAAAATAGGGTCTTTATGGTGATTTGGGAGAGCTCTTAAAATCATTTTGGTCGACCTTAAAAAAAGATGGAGAAAAATTTCAATTTTTTTTTGAAAATCCCCCCTCTCGAGGAAATCCTAGATCCGCCCGTCTTGATATTATAGTTCTTTACAGCTCATCACAAATATGCTCCATGGGGTTACCCTAAACAAGAAGAAATTCACCGGCAAATAGTTTTAATGGAGTTTTTTTAAGTAAGTTTTCGGGGCCGAAAGGTAGTTCATGGAAATCAAGTGACTGCCAGGCGACCATAAGGAGTCATTAAACTCTGTTTCAGCAAAGGAGAACTTCACACTATGGCGGAAAAATTAAATCTTAAAGTTCAAGACTAGTGAAAAAGATATTATAAAACTAAACAAAAGTAGCCGGTCAGCTTTGTCATTTCCACAGTATTATAACGACAGTTAGCCTAGCAAAAAATTGGAAAAAATTATCTATTTTAGTTTCAAAATGAATAACTCTGTTGCTGAGGCACCCGCAGACAAAATTAAATAAACCCTTCAAGCATAAAACTTATCAATTAAAAACCAATTTAAAAACCAACGTAGAATTGTATATGAAGTAGTAATCGTATATGGAATAGTGTTTGTTTTTAGCAAATGGGTGGTATTTTGAAAAAAAAAATGAAAAAAATTCATCCTCCGCAAACTATTAAAGTACAAAATGATATATTTCGCTTATAGCAAAGTGAAAAATAGATCACAAAGTAATATATCCTATTAAAGCTGTTCAGTCAGGATTCGAACGATATAAAAAACAAGCGTTGAGAAAAACCGGTTTGAAATTTTTGAGTTTTCCTCTGAATTTGAGCAAATAAAACGATTAAAAGCTTAGCTTAAGCCATGTTTAAGTTTTTTTCAACACAAATTAGTGTTTTGAAAGTTTAAGAGCTTTAGTTTTAACCAATAACTTCAAAATACAAAAAACTACAAAAAAATGAGTGTTTTTGGAAAAACTTTGATTTTCTTTGCTTTTCTTGCCATTTTTCTATAAAAAATGACACTAAAGAATTTCTACAAAAAACGACACTAATTAAAAAAAAATGACAGTAACTAAAGAAATGTTGTGTCTGAATACAATGGTCGGAACATTCTGTGCTCTTTGCACACAACCGACTATTCTTGTCTAGGTCGTTTTTCGGGGTGGTGTGATAAAATCATCTGAGCAACAAACTAGAGCATAGGCTTATTTGACAGTCAAATTGAAGTAAGCAAATTGGAACTAGTTTCTGTAGAAAAAAGACAATTACTGTAAAATCAAAACAGTTTTTAAAACTTGCATTTTTTGCGGTTTTTTTTACCTTTTAACATTTTTTCCAAAAAGGCGCAAAAAACATTAAAAAAAACTATTTGTAGTCAAATAAAACTAAATTTTTGCCGCTTAAATTAAGCGATTGTAAGCAGTCAAACTATCGACATTATCTATAGCTCGCTCACTCGAAATACCACGAAAAACAAAAAAATCAAACCGGTTTTTCTCGCCATCGGGAAAGTTTTTGAAAAGTTTCAATGTCGTATAATTCACGACTAAAAGGGCTTTGAATTCATTTTTCACTCAACTCTCTCCGATGATTGTTTGTTTTGTTTGTTTGCTGATTTTGCTTGGAAAACAAAAAAAAAATAAAAAAAATAATAAAACACACCCGAATAAAAAGTTCCCTCCCCATTTTTCAAATGGTTGGAAGCTTCGGTTAAAAAATGCTAGTTAAAAATTAGAAATTAGTCTGGTGAAAAAAAAATAATCCGAGCACATATATTCTGTCATTTTCTTCGTAAATAGTCGGAACATAACCACATACGCCATGTTCCGCAGTATGTTCAGAGCAAAAAAGCTATTAGTTTTTGTTGAACTGATGCACTACAAAAGTTCAAAATTTATAGGATATTGAGGCCAAGGTAACGTTTTTTTTATTATTGTAAATACTATTGTTCAGATAGAATTAGAAGACTTTTTTGACATGAACCAAAAAAAACTTTTTTAGCTTTGCTGCAAACCTTATACATGTTTATACAGAAAATTTACTGGAATGATTTTAGAAAATATCGCGTCCACTGCAAATTTTTTAAAAAGCTTACTTATATGTAATATTTGATTTAGTTTTGTGTTATATCTTCTTCGCATATACGAGTAAATCTATTAATATGTTCAATCGCCATGTATGGTATCAAGGTGTGGCTTCGGCTGTTGATTGATCTCGTCATCAGAAATCAGTCTGAGACGATTCAACAAAAGTTTCACCAGATTTAAATCGAAGGCTTAAGCGAATGCAAATTATATCATCGAGTAATACGCATATCATATCGCCGTCATTATCCGAGCTGTGGTTTCGTGTTTTATTCCCGTGCGATACTGAGTTAATCTGTATCAATTACGACTAATTTTGAGCGATAAAAAATAAACGATTCGTGACTTTTAATTTAAGAAGGTTGATCTGTCAGCAAAATTCATTCCAACACGCTGAATTAAATACCATTATATTTTTATCTTATATTTATATATTCATCACTTTTGGTAAGTTATAGTTGCGTTGCATTTGAAAAAATGTAAGTTCGTTCATTTTTTTTACTTAAAAAATTGATTGTTTGTGGTGAATACCAAATCATATCAAGAGACGAAGCTAGGCGCATGTAATAATTTGACCAAATTAACGTTTGAGAGTGACTTTATAAGAAGTCTCAATATATTTGAGCTGTTTTCGTGGTTTCACTTTATTATTTTCCTCTAGTTTTATCCCTTCGGTCGTAAACCAGTTTAATCTTTTGTCGTTTGTGATAAGAAAAGTTGGCAGTCACCAGAAACTTTTGTTCCTGTTTATGCAGCAATAGTGTAAATATAGACTATTAATCATTCTGGTTTCTTGGTATTATTAGATTGAGTTATTGCACAACTACTGATATCGAATTGTTAATCTTTAGTACTATCTTATTGTTGATTGTAGTGGTTTTGTCATGGGATCGAAACAACCAGTCGCGACAGACGACGAATTTAACCAGACTTTGAGTTGTATATGAAGTAGTAATCGTATATGGAATAGTGTTTGTTTTTAGCAAATGGGTGGTATTTTGAAAAAAAAAATGAAAAAAATTCATCCTCCGCAAACTATTAAAGTACAAAATGATATATTTCGCTTATAGCAAAGTGAAAAATAGATCACAAAGTAATATATCCTATTAAAGCTGTTCAGTCAGGATTCGAACGATATAAAAAACAAGCGTTGAGAAAAACCGGTTTGAAATTTTTGAGTTTTCGTCTGAATTTGAGCAAATAAAACGATTAAAAGCTTAGCTTAAGCCATGTTTACTAAGTTTTTTTCAACACAAATTAGTGTTTTGAAAGTTTAAGAGCTTTAGTTTTAACCAATAACTTCAAAATACAAAAAACTACAAAAAAATGAAGGTTTTTGGAAAAACTTTGATTTTCTTTGCTTTTCTTGCCATTTTTCTATAAAAAATGACACTAAAGAATTTCTACAAAAAACGACACTAATTAAAAAAAAATGACAGTAACTAAAGAAATGTTTTGTCTGAATACAATGGTCGGAACATTCTGTGCTCTTTGCACACAACCGACTATTCTTGTCTAGGTCGTTTTTCGGGGTGGTGTGATAAAATCATCTGAGCAACAAACTAGAGCATAGGCATATTTGACAGTCAAATTGAAGTAAGCAAATTGGAACTAGTTTCTGTAGAAAAAAGACAATTACTGTAAAATCAAAACAGTTTTTAAAACTTGCATTTTTTGCGGTTTTTTTTACCTTTTAACATTTTTTCCAAAAAGGCGCAAAAAACATTAAAAAAAACTATTTGTAGTCAAATAAAACTAAATTTTTGCCGCTTAAATTAAGCGATTGTAAGCAGTCAAACTATCGACATTATCTATAGCTCGCTCACTCGAAATACCACGAAAAACAAAAAAATCAAACCGGTTTTTCTCGCCATCGGGAAAGTTTTTGAAAAGTTTCAATGTCGTATAATTCACGACTAAAAGGGCTTTGAATTCATTTTTCACTCAACTCTCTCCGATGATTGTTTGTTTTGTTTGTTTGCTGATTTTGCTTGGAAAACAAAAAAAAAATAATAAAACACACCCGAATAAAAAGTTCCCTCCCCATTTTTCAAATGGTTGGAAGCTTCGGTTAAAAAATGCTAGTTAAAAATTAGAAATTAGTCTGGTGAAAAAAAAATAATCCGAGCACATATATTCTGT